CACACACACACACACACACACACACACACACACACACACACACGGGCGGGTGCAAGAGGGTAGCCTTCGGCCCTCCTCCGCACCCACACCGTCGACAGAGGTCTGCCCCGACAGTATAATCGTAGAAGTCGTGCGTTCCTCAGCAGGGGGGAGGGAGAGATGGACAGAGATCTGCCCCGACAGTATGGCTGCGTTCCGTTTCAAGACATAGGATGCTTTTCAGCAAGGACAGCATCAGACACTGTGTAACACAGAGAATCGTTTCATCCTCGTTTAACGTACGCAAACAACAGGGATGCAATGATTCCATATATGTAATACTACTATATGGCTAGTGCCTATAAGAGGGAGTGAGAGAAAGCGGTCCCAGAACCACGGTGCGGGAATATCATATATGTAATACTACTATATGGCTAGTGTCTATAAGAGGGAGTGAGAGGAAGCGGTCCCAGAACCACGGTGCGGGAATATATATTTCCCTCTCTTTCTAAGAGTACTTTGAGTGTTGTGCGCATGCGTTGGATTGATTGCATGCGCCAATAGGAAAATAGAGTGCGATCAGTGAGATGACGCGAACAGGTTATGCTCGTTATGCTTATTAGATGTGTGCTGTTGTACACAGGCAAAAATGGTCAAGATATGTTATTTATGTGGCAAAAAGCCTAATGCGACTGAAAACATTAGTTTGCATAGATATGAAATAGGTATTAGTTTGCACTGATTATCATGAAATTTCTGTAAGGGATTGCACTGTATTCTTATATACATAACGGCAATTTTGAAAAAGTTTATTTCATAAAATTAGGATTAATTTATTTATTCCGACTAAACTGACTCTGTTAACTGTAACAAGGTTATACCCTGAAGCGGAATCAATCACTTTTTCCTTCTTCCTTACACATATATGTATATTTATCCTTCTATTTATTATTGATGGAGGGGATGAATCCGACGCATGCGCACAACGTTCAAAGTACGCTGAGAAAGAGAGAGAAGTATATTCCCGCACCGTGGTTCTGGGACATGGACTTCTCTCTCATCTAGCCATATAGTAGTATTACATATATGGTACACCCACGGTAATTAATTCTGTCCCTCGGAAATTTTCACAAAATAAAAAATGACCACCTTTCTATATTAATTGTCACAATCCATGCATGATTAACGTTACGACTGAATCTTATCGTGCATGAATAGTGACAATTAATATAGAAAGGAGGTCACTTTTCATTTTGTGAAAATTTCCGAGGGACAGAATCAATTACCGTGGGTGTACATACTACCAAGAAGACTAGAACCAGGAGAGTAAACTCGGTCAAATATCGGTAGTGGGGGTAGGCCAAAATGTGACGGCGGATAACTTCCCCCACTCTTGCGCTTCATTAGTCCTCTCTGTCGCTCTGATAGTCGTTTTCAATAGAGGCCTAGAAAACAGAGATGCGACATTGCGTCGGTTGGGTTAGGTAACCACCGCCATTTTAATTCAATATAAGTGCTCTTGACCAATAAGCTGATGACAATTGATGTAAAAGGTAGAAAGATTAGATTAGGTTAAGTTAAGTCCGATATTAAATATTCACACAAATAAGAATACTTACACCATAATAATAGTTTTTTATTGCAGTTCGACACTGTATTGTCTAAATTTTTCTCTATATATATGTACATACGTTATAAAACTATATATCTATTAGATGCAATAGTGAATTAAAATGGCTCTCTGATCACGTGATTTAGACAGCCAATCAAACCATACCCTTCAATGACGCATCTCTGTTTTCTAGGTCTCTAGTTTTCAATTCGTGACTGCGCATGTCAAACAAACCTTGTTTCTGTTTAATTGAATTTTGGACTCAAGAAGACTAAAAATCATACATATTTCAATATATGTTATTCCAACGACGACGGAAATATTAATAATATTCTGTAAATAAAAAAAAATTACTGTAATCATACTCCAAAATTTGTATACAATACAGAATTTACCTATAAACAAGTTATTTAATATACAGTATAATTTCTTTTTACAACTTACATTCTGTTTAAGATGGTTTAAGAAGATTTTTTTCTTTTTTAAGTGTGTCCCTCGAATGAGGGGAAAATAAAGCGTCTTTAGCCCTAACCTTTTTGGGCTATATAACGCCAAGAAGACTTCTTGATAACGCAAAGGTTAAGAACAAGACTTCTTGGTTATAACCGACGCGCGCATGCGCAAACTTTCATTCAATGTGCAATGCCACTGCGCATTGAATGAATAACCGCGGACGTTTTTTGACCTACCCCCACCACGCTAGTTTACTCTCCTGGTTCTAGTCTTCTTGGGTACTACACAGCCCTCGGCTGAGTACATACATGGGGTCAATTCTCTAACTTTTATTATAGTGAAAATGTGAGCTAACTCACATCGTGTGATTCCCTAACTTTCATCATATCGAAAATGTGAGCAATCACACGGGAGTTCGTTCGGCAAGAAATTTCTTGTCGAAATGGTGAAATCCGAAAGAGAGACTGAGTAAAACTAAGAGAAAAACTATAGCAGCGTGGTCGCTCCGCCGTAGCATCGTGACGCGTGCAGCGACAGTTTAAGGTTTAAAAGGTCTTTTGTTACAAAATCCAAAGATAAAAGTTATCCCTAATAAAAATTTTTCTTCAAATTTTCATACGAATTAAGTCATTTTTAAGAAATACATTTTCTCTTAAAATTTTTTAATTTTATATACGTACGTGAATAGTGAAATATTTTAATATTTCCAAGATTTTTCATTTTATACAGCTTCTAGTAAAAAAATCAAACTTTTTGAACGCGATCCGTGTGTCAA